TATCTTGGGGTTGTTAAGTTCGAGCCCCATGTTGGATGTAGAGATTAGTTAAAAATAATATATTTAAGGGTGCCTGGGTGGCTCAGTCGGTAAGCGTCTGCCTTCGGCTCAGGTCATGATCCCAGGGTCCTGGGATCGAGTCCCACATCGGGCTCCCTGTTCGGCGGGAAGCCTGCTTCTCCCTCTCCCACTCCCCCTGCTTGTGTTCCTGCTCTCGCTATCTCTCTCTGTCAAATAAATAAATAAAATCTTTAAAAAAAATAATAATAATATCTTTAAAAAATAAATAAAATTTAAAAAAGAAAGTCCTGAATTTAAAAAGATAATCAATAAAAAGGAAAGGAAATTGTGGTTTTGGTGGTGCACTGACTAATATTTTCTTAGGAGTTAAGAAATTCAGGGCACGCCTGGTTGGCTCAGTTGGTGGAGCATGTGACCCCATCTCGGGGTTGTGAGATCGAGCCCTGCATTGGGTGTGGAGATTACTTAAAAAAATAAAATCTTAAAAAAGGAAATCTGCTCTGATAGCTTGGAGAGTACCTACTCTACCTCACTATGTAAATTATCATCTTCTGCAAGAATCTAAACTGAATGACTGACCCTCTCCTCCCACCACATAGAGATAATGATTCCCAGAGGGAAGGGGTAGGAAGAGCCAGAAAGACAAATAAGATGTATGGCTCTGTCCTCAAAGACTTAGGAGCGTGCGCGTGCGCACACACATACATGCACTCCAGTACTATATATATGCATATATATTGTAGTAGGGGGATATATTAATGAGAATATATTTTAAGGGGGGTAGTCATGTCTGGTTTATCACTGTGATTAGCTTCTAGCTGAGCCTGGAAGGACAAACAAAAAAGCGCACAAAGAACTCAAGGAAAAGAAGAGAAAAGCATTCCAGGCTGAAGGAAACCACCCCCAAACCCTCCCTCTCTCCCTCCTGCCCCCCCACCCCCCATATACAGGCTTGCAAAGGATGAGCACATGCCCAATGTCCAGCTGGAATGCTGCCCTGAGAGCAGGCTGGAGGTAGGAACAGGCCAGTGTTAGAGGACTCAGGGCACCATGGAGTTGGGCTCAGGCCTCTCTGACTTCAAAACTAACACTCGTTTTGTCATCTTGTCTCTTTAAAAGACAACCCAGAACCCTCTTAGCCTGCATTGTCATTTATTGAAATTTAGTCCTCATTCTATCCCCTATAGCAAAATAGGTCATTCATCCTGAACTGGAGAGCCCTTCCATGCCAGAAAAGAATTCTCTTGGTCTAGCTTAGTCTTTTTCAAGGTAAATACCCTTTGTTCCTTTAAGGGTTTCTCTCTGGTCATCGTCCTCTGGATGTGATATGGTTTATGAAGCTGCATCTTCCAGGGAAGCACCTTGAACAGTGTTGGAACACTGAACACCATCGGTTTAGTGGGTTGCACCCTGTGACACTGTAACTCTTCCTGAGGTCTAAATATGTGGGTTCTTTTTTTTTTAAGACTTTTTTTTTTTAAGATTTTATCTATTTATTTGAGAGAGAGAGAGATAAGGAAAGAGAGCACAAGCTGGAAGAGAGAGCATGAGGAGGGGGCAGAGGGAGTGAATTTTTTTTTTTTTATCTTTAATTTTAAGTGAGCTCTAGGTCCAATGTGGGGCTTGAACTTACTCCCAGAGATCAAGAATCACATGTTCTACTGCCTGAGCCAACCAGGTGCTCCCCCCACTTTTTTTTTTTTTAAGTAAAATCATTTCTTTTCATCTCCTTTTCTTTATTATTATAAATGTGTGCATTCTTAAGCAGCTTTTAAAAGTATTGTTCTGACAGTTAACCCTTTCTTGAATACATTTTTTAAGGATTTATTTATTTGAGAGAGAGAGCACAAGCAGGGGTGGAGGGGAGGGGAGGGCAGCGGGAGAGAGAGAAGCAGTCTCCCTGCCGAGGGTTCCGAGGACTCAATCCTCAGACTCTGGGATCATGAGCTGAGCCAAATGAAGGCAGACGCTTAACTGACTGAGCCACCCAGGCACCCCTTGAATACATTTTAATAAAAGTTTCCCTATTCCAAATACATTTTTTTTAAAAAGATCTTATTTATTTATTTGACAGAGAGAGAGGCAGCGAGAGAGGGAACACAAGCAAGGGGAGTGTGAGAGGGAGAAGCAGGCTTCCCACGGAGCAGGGAGCCCGACGCGGGGCTCGATCCCAGGACCCCTGGATCAGGGCCCGAGCCGAAGGCAGACGCTTAACGACTGAGCCACCCAGGCGCCCCTCCAAATACATTTTAATGAAAACATTTTCTATTCTCTGTAAAATGTTCTTTCAATATTATCTAAATATTGACTAACGATTTTGTAACTGGTAATGGATACAAAAGTGTTTTCATTCTTAGTTCTGAAATCGTGGATAAATAGAAATAATGTACTATCTTTTGGATTGTGAGTGTCATGAAAGCAGGGACTCTGTCTTGCTCATCTTTGTGCTCTGGCTCCCAGCACAGTGTCTGGTTCTGAGAAGGCATTTAATTTTTAATCAACAAACAGTGCTGCTGTGAGCCAAACACAGTTTAAAATGCTTCCCAAATTTTAATTTATTTCATCCTCATAACCCTATGAAGGAGAAACTGCTATCATATGAATGTCACAGGTGAGGAAACTGAGGCACAGAAAGGCTAAGCAACTTGCCTAAGGTTTAGGAGGGAGTAGCAGGGCTGGGATTCAAACCCAGACAGTCTGGCTCCGGTGTCCTTGTTCTCACTTTGCTCTGCTGCTTCTCATCAATGTTGGATGAGGGCAGGATGGTTGGATTAATCCATGAGGAATGCTTTTGTTAATTTAGGTCATTTATTTTATCCTACAAATATTTCATAAGTGCTTCCTATATGTCCAGCATCCTGAAAGAAATTTTGGAGAAATGGAGAACTACAAGAGTTTGTAATTTTGTTAGAGAGGACACATACACAATTAATATTACAGAGGGTATATTAAGTGTCATCCTAGTAGCTCCCACATAGATGCTATAGGAATTCAGAAGGAAAAAAATGATTACATAAGATAAAGGGCCATGTGGCAAACAGACCCTAGGTGGCCCCATGATTCTTGCCCCTGCTGTTTACACCCTGTATAATCCCCTCACCCTGACAGTGGGCAGCACCTGTGACTTGCTTTTAGTTAATGAATATGGCAAAAATAAAGGGGGGGGGATTTTGCAGATGTAATGAGCCCATAAATCACTTGATTCTGGGGTCAGGCCCTGGGTGGCCCTAAGTTACCCAACAGAGTGAGAGCCCCGAGAAGAAGAGGAACTGGGCCTTCCCTGAGCTGAGAGACTGTCTTGGTGGACTTAAGTAAGTAGCCATGTTGAAGAAGCGCATGGCAAGGAAACTGTGGGCAACCTCTATGGCCTCAAGACAAACAGCTAGGAAAAAGCTCGGGCCCTCCCTCGTAAAGTTGCAAGGGAATTAATTTTGCTAACAACACCAGTGAGCTTAAAAGTGGAGTTTTCCTCTGTCAAGCCTCCAAATGAGAACACGGCCTGTGACTGACACCCCAACAGCAGCCTTGTGAGAGCCTGACCAGAGGACTCAGTTAAGCTGTGCTCAGATTCCTGACTCATGAAAACCATGAGATGGTAAATGTGTGTGTTTTAAGCTGCTAAGTTTAGTGTGTGGTCATTTGTTATTAAGCAATGGATAGCTAATAGGGACCACTTCCAGATTTAGTGGATATGGGGGAGAAGGGAGACCTCTCTCTGCTTATTCCTAGATTTTATGATCATGGACAGGGAGAATTAAGCTGTTATTGATAGAAACAGGGACATCAGGAATAGAAACCAATCTGAGTGGGGGACGGGAAAGATAATGAAGACGTAAATTTTGATGTGCTGAATTTGGGGGAAATACAAATGCCTGAAGTCATCTGGAATTTGGGAGTGGAGTTTAGGGGGAAAGTCAGGGCTGACAGAAAATTCGGTTATTCTCAGCATAGAGATGACAGCTGAAATCCTAAGAATAATAGAGTTCTCTAAAGGAAGGGTTTCAGAAAGGAAGGAGCAGGAGAGTGACTGTAAATCTTGGGGAAGGGCCACCGAGTGGGGAGGGGGGAAGGAAGGCAGAAATCGACCCAAGGGAAGCAGTACTTGTGGAATCATTAGAAAGGACTGTATTGGGGTGCTTGGGTGGCTCAGTTGGTTGGGCATTCAGCTCTTGATTTCCTCTCAAGTGGTGATCTCTGGGTGGTGGACTCAAGCTCCACGCCTGCTCCCGGCTCAATGGAGTTGGCTTGAGATTCTCTCTCTCCCTCTCTTTCTGCCCCTCCCCCCGCGCTCTCTCAAATAAATGAATAAATATATAAAATCTTTTATTTTATTTTTAAAATATTTTATAAGATTTTATTTATTTGACAGAAAAAGAGAGAAAAGGAACACAAGCAGGGGGAGTGGGAGAGGGAGAAGCAGGCTTCCTGCTGTGCAGGGAGCCCGACCCAGGCTCGATCCCAGGATGCCGGGATCATGACCGAGCGGAAGGCAGACGCTTAACGACTGAGCCACCTAGGCGCCCCAAATAAAATCTTCTAAAAAAAAGAAAAAAAGAGGACTGTGATTGATTGGTTCTCCTGCGCGGGATAGTCGGTTCCCTCCAAGTGTAATTATAATGCAACCGCTAGGAGGCAGTCTATTTTACAGGTAGGAAAACTAAGGACTTAAAGGTTTAAATCATCTAAACCATTATTATCACATTAAAAGCCAGTGAAAGCTGAATTCTAACTCAGATATCATACCAAAGCCAGGGATCTTTCCGCTGCGTTTAATTCATCTTTATTTTCCAAAGAGCGTAAAATGAGTAAGTGAGGGCGAGGAAAGGGGAGCGCTCTCCAGGTGCCGGGAGCGGCGGAGAGAAACCGAGGGCATCCTCCGGCCGCTGCTCTCCTAGCCGCCAGCAGAGGCCGCCCGAATACAGACCCCGCGGGCCCAGGTGCGCGCAGGCGCAGGCGCAGGCGCAGGCGCGCTCGACTCTGCTCTCCCTGGCGCGCCGGGCCGGTGGGGGCGGGTCACGCAGATCGCGCGGCCGGGAGCTGGTAGCTGGCGGCTGCGGCGGCGGAGCTGCGGGGCCGGGAGCCGGCGCGGGGCTCTGGGGAAGCGAAGCGCCGCGCAGTGCTGAGCCCGCCGCCCGCCGGGAGCCATGGAAATCGGCACCGAGATCAGCCGCAAGATCCGGGTAAGGCCCGCGTCGGGCGGGGGCGGGAAGCCGGGCCTCGGCGGGCGGGCGGGCGCGCGGTTGTCAGGAGTAACGGGGACCGTGGGCCCGGCCTGGACGCCGCGGCCTACTCGCCGCCGGGGGCTCTCGGCGGGCTGCGGGGCCGGCGAACGACTCCTCCTCGGCCTGGGCCGCCTCGGGCCGACGGGCCTCGGAGAGCTCGGCGGGCGAGCGGGGCCGCGGCTGGAGAAAGCCGCCGGGAGCGGAAGGAGGCGTGGAGCGCCGGGCGAGAGACGCGCTCGGCGGCGGCTGGAGGGGCCCGCGGGGACGGGGGAGGGGCCCGGGCGCCTCCCCGCCCCCACCCGGGACCCGGGCGCCGAGCGGGCGGGAGGTGCGCGCAGCTGCCGAGTCGCCTCTGCGTTACGGAGCCGGTGCGTTTCCGCCTTTCTCACACGCGACGTTTGTCTTTCTCTTCTTCCCTCAGAGTGCCATTAAGGGGAAATTGCAAGAATTAGGAGCTTATGTTGGTAAGTTTTTTTGTTGTTGTCAGCGTAATGGAATTTAGGCTTTGCTGCTAACTGAATTTTAGTGAATGCATTTTTTTTTTCCCTTCGTACTGTCGACTTTGGAGAAACCCCTTTTTACTTTCAAATCTGATTCTTTGCGGTTTCTTATTCTTACTGTCTTTTCTTGAAAGCTCTATATGCAACCTTGCTCCCCCCCCCCCAAAAAAAACCCGCCTTTTAATATGGTGCTTTTAAGATTGTTTAGCCTCCTCTGTTGAGGCTGTCTTATTCTCCATGTTTATTTGATTCTGTTTTTCCTGTTCTCTTTGCTTTCCTCTTGATCTTCTTGTTTCAGAACTTACTTTGCATATGAATGTTTTCTGGCCGTTGCCTCTGCCGCGGTTCAGTGAGTTTTATTTTCAAATCTTTCTTTTTTCCTGTCTCTTTTCCTCTTAGCACCCACAGTAATGTTTTCTCTTTTTCTTTATGCTTTTATGATTTATAATTTGAGTGTTTACTTTGGATCAGGCTCTGTGCTTAACCATTGTCTATGCGTTAGGTCATGATAATATCCAGGAGAACACTGGAAGGTAAGTGGTAATACTCCTATGTGTACAAGCAAGGAAACTGAGGCTTTGAGTGTTTACTTGAGCAATGCTTTATGGATTGAGATTTGGGTCTGTTTGGCTCCAAAGCTGGTGCCTCCTGTAAAAGTAATTTAGGACATGGTTCTCAAGGTGTGAGAGATGCCAAGGGTCTCTGAAGTCAAAACTGTTATCTCATTAATACTGAAAGGGTACTTGCCATTTGGATTGTGCAAAAGCATGAGTTAAACTGGTGGTACCTGAATCTGGAGATCTCACCGCAAACTCTGTGAGAAATTCTATCACCCCTCTCTTGGGAATTTTTTTAAAAAGCCGGTTTCACTTAATTAGTGAAGCAGTAAAAATATTTTTTTTAAATCTTGGCCCTTGCCTACGTCTTTTAAATGTGTGATGTGAGAAAATAGGAATTACTCATGAAGTACTTCTGTGTATTAAAACAGGTTGGTTTGTCTAAAGGGAAAGGATTTGTGTGATTGAGTTAGGCACCGTTTTCATGGAACATTATTTTTATCTCCTAACACTGACAAACTAGACATACACTTGGATATTTGGCAGACATATTCTTGAAAGTGAAAAGAGGAAAAGAACTGATACGCTTTTTTATCAATGACAAAAGTTAAGCTTTCAGGTGAAAATAGAATTTTGAAAAGTTTGTTTCTGCCATCATGAACTTGAAAGCTTCCCAGTACTTAAAAGAAGTTCTGATGATATTAACAAATGATTCTTTTGTATCTTGTAATGAATTGTATCAACATGTCAGTGATTTACCCTGAACCAGTAGTTTTTCAAATGATCAGTGCATGATGTTACAAAATTATACAAGGGAAAAAGATTCATTAAAAGTAGAGGATGGATCAGTGGATTTTCATGTAACAAGGTACAAAAAGGTGATTGATAGAGTTTTAGTTTCCATATTGCTGCCTACCTTTAAGAAACTACCACTTGTTGAGTTTTGATGTAGTATCACAGAAGAATGTCCACATTATCTGAAAAGGCTTTTAAAATACAGTTGACCCTTGAACATCTTAGGGGTAGGGCTGCTGGACACTCCCCTCCCTGGCACAGTTGAAAAGATGAGTATAACTTTTGACTCTCTCCAGATTTACCTACTAATAGCCTATTGTTCATCAGAAGTCTTACTGTTAACATAACCAGTCCGTTAACACATATTTTGTATATTATGTGTACTCTATACTTTATTTTTACAGAAAGTAAGCTAGAGAAAAGAAAATATCACAAAAATCATAAGGAAGAGAACATGCGTTTTTGATACATGTATCAAAAAAAATCCAGGTATAATTGGACCCAGGCAGTTCAAACCCATGTTCAAGGGTCAGCTGTACTTTCTTTTCCAACTGTGTATTTGTGAAGCCAGATTTTCGTCATATTCTTCAATTAGAGCAACATATCATAACAGGTTAAATGCAAAAGTGGAAATTGAATCCAGCTGTCTTTTTAAAAACCAGATATTTAAATATAACTAGTTTTATGTTATTTTTTTGGAAAATTTATTTTTTATAAAAATGTTAATTATGTCATATAAATGGGTTTATTAACATGTGATAAGTGTTATTTTAAATAAGATTTTTAAATTCTCAGTTTTTCTAGCATGGTAATTATCAATAGATAATTCACATAAAAGTTCTTTTTGTCGTTGGTAACAGTGTATCAGTTCTTTTTCTCTTTTCACTTTCAAGAATATGTCTGCCAAATATCCAAGTGTATGTCTGGTTTGTCAGTGTTAGGAGATAAAAATAATGTTCCATGAAGAAGGTGGCTAACTCAGTCATGACCTGAGCTGAAATTAAGAGTTGGAAGCTTAACTGACTGACCCACCCTGGGTCATCAGAGCATAAAGCGAACCTGAGACCCAACGGTTTGAGAATTACTAATTTGGGGTGCCTGGGTGGCTCAGTTGGTTAAGCCACTGCCTTCCGCTCGGAACGTGATCCCAGGGTCGTGGGATTGAGCCCCATGTCAGGCTCCCTGCTCGGCAGGGAGCCTGCTTCTCCCTCTCCCTCTGCCTGCTGCTCTGCCTACTTGTGCTCTCTATCTTTCTGTTAAATAAATAAATAAAATCCTTAAAAAAAAAAAAAAAGAATTACTAATTTACCACATGCTGGGCACTTTTTATAAACTATTTGTCAAGATTGTTCTAAGCCTTTAACAGATAAGAGAATTGAAGCTCAGAAGTAAAGATGAAGCTGAACCAGAATTGACTTATTATTTAATTTCTTCAACACTTGATGGATACCAGCTATGTGTCAGGAACTTGTTTGGTTCAAAAAGAAATCTACAGAAAACATCTAGCGTAAACTTTCTTAGTTCTAGCACATGAAAGCACAAACACGTGTTAATTGAGTCTAAGTTCAGTCTTATTGATGATTCCTATCATTTATCAAAAATCTCAAACCAAGAATTTTGAGTCTATTAAAAACTTGGTTTATAAGCTTAATGTTCAATATGAAATGAATTATAGTAAAAATACAAATAGTTTAAAAAATAAAAATAGTTTGATTTTCAGAATATTTTCATATAGTTACATTTGTTCCTGAACACAGTGCTAAGTGGGAATGGCAGGTAGTAGTATTTCTTTTACAACTAAAAAAAAATGGAGGGGCGCCTGGGTGGCTCAGTCAGTTAAGCATCTGCCTTTGGCTCAGGTCATGATTCCAGGGTTCTGGGATCCGGCTCCCTGCTCAGTGGGAAGCCTGCTTCGTCCTCTCTCTCTGCCTGCCGCTCCCCATCCTTTGTGTGTGTGCGCGCGCGCGCGCGCGCTCTCTGTCAAATAAATAAAATCTTTTTTTTAAAAGAAAAAGCACTAAAAAAAGAGTCTTGGGAGTAGCAGAGCTGGTCAGTAGCAGATTTAAGACCAGAGAACTCAGGTCTTCTGTGTCCTTGATACCAGCAAAGGCATAGGAGTCACTCCTGTGTCCTCCTCTGGAATCCACTGAAATCTCTTCCAGTGATTGACACATTAGCATGGCTTCCCAGCTTGTGTCTGTTTCTTGACTGGACATTTCTTGAGGGCAGAGACTTAGTATTTGTGATGTCCCAGTGGCCTAGCAGAGAGTATGATTTTTTTTTTTTAAATAAGTGTTGATTAAGTAGAAAAACAGGGGTTACAGTTACTCTGAAATAAAAGTATACGTTACGAATTTAGGTTTACAGTTAGCTACCTGATTGTATGTTTATACATCATTGTCCTTCTGAAAAGGATGACTTTCTAATCCCTCTCTCTGTAAGAAAGTCCTGGAAACCTTTAAGGTTATGGAAGCAATAGTATTTAACAAATATTTGAGTATTTATTTTCAAGGCGTGGGGTGGCGAACAACTCTTAGGAGTGATAACTTCTTATTTGTGTTTATTTAAAATGGAGCACTTCAGTGGGAAGGCGATTACGGTTCAGAGCAGTCCTTCATTCACATGTTATTTTTTATTTAAAAAAATTCTTTTAGTATCCTTGACAATTTCATTCACATTTTAGAAGCCTGAACTTTGCATAAACCTCCAAAACACTCACTTTTTCCCCAGTAGAGATTTCAAATAAATTTGAGAAATCTGAAATCTGTGGAAATGTATCATGAACATGTTAATTTTTCAACAGATTCTTATTTTCTGTTTTGTATACTGAGGAAACTGTATGATTTTCCAATGGCTTGGTTGAGATATAATTAGTATATTAACATTGGTATATTAAACTGCATATTTAAAGTGTACAATTCGGTAAGTCTTGACAAATACACATGGTAATTAGACTAATGAACATATTCATTACTCCCAGAAGTTCCCTGGGGCTCCTTTTTATCCTTCCTTCCCGCTTTTCCCTGCCTTGACCCTGTACTGGAGCAGCCACGGATCTCACCTAGAATGTTAGAAAATGCAAGCTAATAGTGCCAGGAAAGCACATTTTCTTTCTTTCTTTCTTTTCTTTCTTTCTTTTCTTCTTTCTCTTTCTCTTTCTTTCTTTCTTGATTTTATTTATTTTATTTTATTTTTTTTTTAAGATTTTAATTTATTTATTTGAGAGAGAGAGAATGAGAGACAGAGAGCAGGAGAGGGAGGAGGGTCAGAGGGAGAAGCAGACTCCCTGCCGAGCAGGGAGCCCGATGCGGGACTCGATCCAGGGACTCCAGGATCATGACCTGAGCCGAAGGCAGACGCTTAACCATCTGAGCCACCCAGGCGCCCTCTTGATTTTATTTATTTGACAGAAAGACAGGGCGTGCACCAGCAGGAGGAGCAGCAGGCAGAGGGAGAGGGAGAAGCAGGCTCCCCACTGAGCAGGGAGCCCGATGCAGGACTCGGTCCCAGGACCCTGGGATCATGACCTGAGCTGAAGGCAGACGCTTAACCCACTGAGCCACCCAGGCACCCAGGAAAGCACATTTTCATCATTGGCATTGTGAGGGAGAAAATCTGTGAAGGCTGGCAAAGCATTCTAACTTTTTTTGTTGACCTTTCCTGGGTTACCAATGGTAGTCCATAGGTGGTAGGTGCACTTTGCATAAATAGGTTACCAGGCTTACTTGCTGTAATTGCCAGAAACAGTGGGAACCTTTTGATACTGTGCAAAGAAAATAAATGACTGTCTTCTTGTTCCCACTTATATTCCCTCACATCATATTGCATGATTTCATTAAATATTCAGATTTCTTCAAGAGAACAAAAAGGCAGCCTACTGAATGGGAGAAGATATCTGCGAATGATACATCTGATAAGGGGTTCATATCCAAAATATATAAAAAACTTACACAACTTAACAACCCCCCCCCAAAAAAAATCCATTTAAAAAATGGACAGAGGACCTGAACAGACATTTTTCCAAATAAGACATACAGATGGCCAACGGACACTTGAAAAGATACTAACGTCACTAGTCATCAGGGAAATGCAAATCAAAACCACATATATCACTTTACACCTGTGATAATGGCTGGAATCAAAGAGATAAGAACTTGGCAAGAATGTAGAGGAAAAGGGACCCTCATTCCGTTGGTGGGAATGCAAATTGGTGCAGCCACTATGGAAAACAATAACAATATGGAAGTTCCTCAAAAAAATTAAAAATAGGGGTGCCTGGGTGGTTCAGTCAGTTGAGCATCTGCCTTCAGCTCAGGTTATGATCCCAGGGTCCTGGGATTGAGCCCCACATCGGGCTCTCTCCTCAGCAGGAACCTGCTTCTCCCTCTCCCTGGTGCTCCCCTTACTTGTATTCTGTCTCTCTGTCAAGTAAATAAATAAAATCTTCAAAAAAAATTAAAAATACAAGTATTATATCCAGTAATTCCACTATTGGGTATTTACCCAAAGTAAACAAAACCACTGATTCGAAAAGATAACATGTTTCTCTATGTTATGTTGTAGCGTTATTTACAATAGCCAAGAAATGGAAGCAGCCCAAGTGTCCATTGATAGATGACTGTATAAAGAAGATAAGAGATATATATACGTGTGTATGTGTTTATAATGGAATATTACTCAGCCATTAAAAACAATGGGAACTTGCCATTTACAACAACATGGATGAACCTAGAGGGTATTACACTAAGTGAAATAAGTCACACAGAAAGACAAAACCATATGATTTTCTTATATGTGGAATCTAAAAAACAAAATGGGCACCTGGCTGGTTGAGTCAGTAGAGCATGTGACTCTTGATCTCAGTGTCGTGAGTTCAAGCCCCACGTTGGGTGTAGAGATAAGTTAAGTAAAAAATAAAAAAAAACTAAAACCAACCCTGACTCTTAGATACACATAACAAATTGGTGGTTGCCAGAGGGGAGGTAGGTGAGGGATGGGTGAAGGGGATTAAGAGGTATAAATATCTAGTTATAAAATAAGTCATAGATGAAAAGTACAGCACAGGGAGTATAATCAGTTTTGTAATAACACTGTATGGTGGCACTAACTCTCCAGAGGCAGGGTTGCCACCTAGACTAAAATTTTTTGCAACATTTTTTTTTGTTAGTAAAATTGCAAGAGATCTAAATATCCAGTGACATAAAATGAGTAAATTGTATATTCATACCAATAGAGCAGTAAAAAATTTAGATTTCTCTCTCTCCATTTGTAGATTGGGCTAAGTATATTTGTGCTTTTCTTGAACTGGATTTTTGATGATTCTCCTTGAAACAAATGTTTTATAGTACTTCTTTTTTTGTCTGATAGTACTACTGAAATGAACCTTTCTGCCTACTTAGAAATACGAATCTTTAAGGTATTAAATCTGAAGGAATTTTTTTGGTGGGGATTAGAGTTCTTGATAAATGCCTTTGCTTCCTTATCTTTTTACAGTGGTGGTGGTGTTTTTGGTCCTAGACCTCACCTTCATAATCATTGTGTTAGGAGCATATGAAGTTGAAATTATTTAAATAAATTTTTTAAATGATAATTTTTGGGTGGTTTTAGTTTGTTTGCTGTTGGTGCAAATTGGTTACCCTGAGATAATAGAAATCTGCCTTTACTGAGGATAAAGATGTTCTCTTGAGAAATGAATATCATTTTGAAACAGGTAAACACAAAACTAGACAAAACTCAATTACTATTCTTGAGGGATGTCCATATGCTTTCTGGAAGCTTCTCTGAAATTGAGCATTATTGAAAAGATAAAAAGACAATGAATACACTCTCAAGTTTGATACTGTAATTCACAATATCTAGTTTTATAAGTATTTGTTAGATATTCCTAATTCCCATCCTTCTAGTAATTGAAATACCTATGTAATGAAGAGGGGGAAAAACTATACTTTCTTGTCCAACATAATTCTAGTAGAGCTGAGATATTAATTTTTAGAGCTATATCTATATTTTCAACTATATTGACTTTTAAGTAGAAGACAATATTGAGGAAAACATAAAGTTTTTATATACTTTTCCTTTTAACTAGATGAAGAACTTCCTGATTACATTATGGTGATGGTGGCCAACAAGAAAAGTCAGGACCAAATGACAGAGGACCTGTCCCTGTTTCTAGGGAACAACACAATTCGATTCACCGTATGGTATGTTTCTGAATTTTTACCCCTTAGACCAAAGTTTGGCACAAGTCAGAGTAGGTATTCTGTCTGAAAAGAGGTTCTTGACAGGAGAGTCAGATTCACTGTGGAGAGGGAGGTAGTGAGCCATGAGAGTGCAGCTTCTGGAGCCAGACTCCTGAGGTTGAATCCTGGATCTGCCTCTTGCCTTGGTTTTTCCATTTGTAAAATGGGATTAATAAATCCCCTTTATAGGCCTGTTGTAAGGATTAAATGAAATAATATGTGTAATGTACTTGTAGCTGTGCCTGGCCCATAACAAGTCCTTAGTCTATCTTAACTGCAGTTGTTATGTTTCTTTTGTAAATGTTTGCATCTTATTCCTTTCCCCCAACCAAAACCAGTTTACATGTATTTTGGGGGCTGGATTGACTTCCTAAATTGATTTCTCTAATGAGTTAACCTTTAGGAGGCAAAGTTTTTGGACAGAATTTCAAATCATTTTTAAAAGTTTGGAACTTTCTGAAGTTTGGAATTTTAAAAAGACAATTTTATGTTCAAATATAAATTCATGTTATAATTTTCAGTGTTCTTTTTCAAACCAAATATTGTCTTTAGTTTAGAATAGTGACTAAAGGCATAAGATTCAATTTAAGAAGGCAGGTTTGAGGTGGAGTGAGGGTGGCGGGAGGGTAATGATGTGACTGAGAATAGATCAGGAAGTACTCCTATAAGCGCCCTCACTCTGGGAACCACCAATTACAACACAGGTTGATAATGGAGCAAAAGTTGAGTGAGCCGAGTGGCCTGCTTACTTTGAATGGCAAGAGACTGGGAGAGGTAATAGGAGGCATTAAAGAGGGATATGAAACTGGTTAATTTCTTGCCTTTAAACTAAAGTTTATCTTGAAGGTGTTTTTGCCCCTCTGGGCCACTGTATGCTTTGCAAGTCTTGTGAACTTTTCTTGAAATTTCCCACAGAATTCTCTATGTTAGATTATACAGTTTTGTATGACATTCAGTGCAGTGGTTGATCCTCACATTTTTTGGTACAGCCAACTACTGCAGAGTGGGTGTCCTAACCCACTCATTACACTTAGTCCCCAGAATTTCCCAAAAAAGAGAGCGAGAGAGAGACTGTGGTACTTTTGACTGGGGAAGTTATCATGATTACCTTTTTTTTTTTTTTTAAACTCTTCTGCACCCCAGGTATTTGTTTTGTTTCATATACATGTTTTATGACTTGACTTTTGGTTCAACCTTTGTATCACTTTTTGGGTTTGAGTCCCACTAATATACTATGGAAGATTGACCTAGAGATCCTTTCTTAGATAACTTGATGGAATGCCTGGGACACATTTCTTACATAAAGGACTAAATGAATTTGAATTTAAAATCAAATTAATTCAATTTTCTCATCTTGCCATAAATTCCTTAATATGTACTGATGCAAGTTACGGTATCTCTGTTTGGGCACTTTATTTCCCTGGTTAAGTGTTCATTGACATCAGCCTGAAATGGACTATTAGGATTGTTTGGAGCCCTGCACTAATTGTGTCCAAGGGGACAGTAGCATGTGACTGGGTTCTGGGTGAGACATTATAATGAGATATTTCTGGTATTTTCAGGAGGTACGGCTCTTGGAAGGGATTGTAAGGCAAATTTGCTTTGCACATAACTATTAAAATAGGCTATATTATAAGCAAGGTTGTAACCTGTGCTTGTTTACAGCATTAGTAATGAAGTGATACGTTTTGATACTATTTTTCAGGTTTTTTCACCTCTCCGAATTAAGTTGTTCCAGAAACCATATAAATAGATAAACTTAAACTCTGCTTTGTAGTAATAAGCTATATTACATATTTCTGATATTTTATCTTTTACCATATGCTACACGGAGTCTTTAGTCCTTATAAAACAAAATTACATTCTTTGTAGATCAAGACTGTGGTCAGATAATATCTTTGCCCTTATTGGTATAGAAGATAGATGTTGAAAGTAATGATGAAAAAATAATGATTTTTGATTGGCTTCTATAGTATTCATATAAGCCTTTTTTAAAAATGTGGCATTTTTTTAACTTTGATACTTTTTGTCCATTAATTACCATTTATCAGTATTTATATTTGAAGGTAGATTCTATAATGTCATCAAATTTCAAGTGATAGTTGAAATAAAATCTTGATTGAAGGAAGCTTTAATATTTTTGTTTTTTTTCTTTTAGGCTTCATGGTGTGTTAGATAAACTTCGCTCTGTTACAACTGGTAAGATTCATTCAAACGTTTGGAATTTACTATAGCATTTTCTTTTAAGATCGTATTTATTTGCAAGAGAGAGAGATCACGAGCAGGGAGAGGGGCAGAGGGAAAAACAGACTCCCCGCTGAGCAGGGAGCCCAATGTGGGGCTCGATCCCAGGACCCTGGGATCATGACCTGAGTTGAAAGCAGACACTTAACCAACTGAGGCACCCAGGCGCCCCTAACGTTTTCTTTCTAAAGCCGTTTATACTGCTTTGGAAAAAATTCCATAAATTTGAAAATAATAGTTTCTTGGAACTTTCTTAGTAAGCTCATGAATTATGAATTCAAGAGCAATAAATTTAACATAAAGATAATTTAAACAAGGGAAAGGAAACTATGCAATTTATCCTAAGGAGATAATTGTAAATGTGTGCAGTGTTTTTAGCTTCAGGGGTGTTTTAATATTTTATTTATTTAGTTTTAAAGATTATTTATTTGAAAAAGAGAGAAAGAGCGCACGCACAAGAATGTGGAGGGAGTACAGACGGAGAGAGAGGATCTCAAGCAGACTCTGTGCTAAGCACAGAGCCTGACATGGGGCTCAGTCCCACCGCCCATGAGATCACGACCTGAGCTGAAATCACTAGTCGGTTGCTCAACTGCCTGAGCTACCCAGGCGTCTCGAGGATGTTTTAATATTTTATAATGGAAAATTATTTGAAAGTTCAGTAATAGTAAATTGAATTAATTATTATATTAACTACGTGTGGAGTTAACAATCAGCCATTAAAAATGCTGTGGAAGAACACATTGCTTTTAAATTGGTGATGAAGAAGGGAAAGGTTCAGAGTTAATAAAAACAGCTTAAAAGGACCATGTGTTTCTTTTTCCAGACCCTTCCAGTCTTAAGTCTTCTGATACTAACATCTTTGATAATAACGTGTCTTCAAACAAGAGCTGTTTCAGTCGGGGAGATGAGAGAAGGCATGAAGCTGCAGTGCCACCTCTTGCGGTTGCTAGCACTAGACCTGAAAAAAGAGATTCCAGGGTTTCTACTAGTTCACAGGAGCAAAAAACCACTACTGTCAGGTAAGAGTCCTGTGTAGACCTGCTGTGGGTAGATGGGTATGTGTATGTGACCTTGACATTAGGTTTTAGATCTTTAAATTTTTGTTTTCAGAAATTTTTGGAAATACTGAGGTGGTTGTGAGCAATTTTTTTTTTAATTTTTTATTTATTTATTTTAGATTGAGAGAGAGAGAGAGAGCACAAGAGGGGGGAGCAGGAGAGGGAGAAGCAGACTCCCTGCCGAGCAGGGAGCCCAATGCGGGACTCGATCCCGGGACTCCAGGATCATGACTTGAGCCGAAGGCAATCGCTTAACCAACTGAGCCACCCAGGCGCCCCAAGCAATTTCTTTTTAACAAGATAATGATTAAGACCTATGTATGATTATCTTTTACCTCAAATATAGTAAATCAAAGTTTTAAAAAAGAAAGTAATTTTAAAGTAGTTTTTAATGGAATACGTAAAGGGAGTATCTAAACTTTTTCATTAAAATTTAAGTATTCTTTGAAGATTTGAAGATACTGCTCTTAGTTGGTTAAAATTTTATGTGTATGTTGTTTTTAAAAATAGACAGACTTATGATGATGGAGCTGCAACCCGATTAATGTCAACTGTGAAGCCTCTGAGGGAGCCAGCACCCTCTGAAGATGTGATTGATATTAAGCCAGAACCAGATGATCTCATTGATGAAGACCTCAATTTTGTGCAGGAGAATCCTTTATCTCAGAAAAAACCTACAGTGACACTTGCATATGGTTCTTCTCGCCCTTCTATTGAAATTTATCGACCACCTGCAAGTCGAAATGCAGATAGTGGTGCTCATTTAAACAGGTTGCAATTTCAGCAGCAGCCAAACAGTATTCATGCTGCCAAGCAACCTGATATACAGAACAGCCGGGTATATGAAACAGGACGTTTGTGTGAACCAGAAATGCTTAACAGCTTGGAAGAGACTTACAGTCCTTTTTTCAGAAACAACTCAGAAAAAATGAGTATTGAGGTTTGTGTGTGTGTATATATATATATATATTTATTTATTATTATTATTTTTTTAATTTTTAAAATTCTTTTAGTTTTTTAAGTAGGCTGCATGCCCATCATGGGGCTTGAACTTACAACCCTGAGATCAAGAGTCACATGCTCTACTAACTGATCCAGCTGGGCGCCCCTGCATATGCTTTTTTTTTTTTTTTTTTTTTTTAAAGATTTTATTTATTTATATGACAGAGAGACACAGCAAGAGAGGGAACACAAGCAGGGGGAGCGGGAGAGGGAGAAGCAGGCTTCCCGCGGAGCAGGGAGCCCGATGCGGGGCTCGATCCCAGGACCCTGGGACCATGACCTGAGCCGAAGGCAGACGCGTAACGACTGAGCCACCCAGGCGCCCCCCTGCATATGCTTTTAAATTCTGGCTTCTTAGGCTGAAAATTGACATTTCTTTTTTTTTTTTTTAAAGATTTTATTTATTTATTTGACAGAGAGAGAGACAGCGAGAGCAGGAACACAAGCAGGGGGAGTGGGAGAGGGAGAAGCAGGCTTCCCGCTGAGCAGGGAGCCCAATGTGGGACTCGATCCCAGGACCCTGGGATCATGACCTGAGCCGAAGGCAGATGCTTAACGACTGAGCCACCCAGGCGCCCCTGAAAATTGGCATTTCTTAAAACTGACTGTATCTGAAATAACTAAATGTTATTTGTTGCAAGTTTTCTTTAAACTGATTTCTATGCTATTCAACATACTACACCAGGTTTTCCTCTCCACAGCTGGCTTCTACAGATATGTGACACCTTGTTTACCTTCCTGGGATGCCATCATTTGAGATAACTGTAGCCTTACCTTATAATTTTGGTGGAATTTTAGGTCAGTTTTAGATTTTCCACGGCAGTTACTAGGAAACAACTAAGTAATTCCATTTTATGAGTTTCCTCACCGGTGCTATATTCTACTGTTTATAAATGAATGTAAAGCATTAGTTTTTGTTTTAGCTAACAATTGGCTATTAGGATAATACTTATTTTTATAAGAAACCAGGAAATAGCTTGTGAATTCTTAATATGATTGGCTTTTTCTTGGGGAAAAAAAATATTGTTGTAGAACTTTGTTTTTTCTCTGAGACTAGGTAAGCGTAAATTTATCTGATTGCAGGAAGAAAACTTTCGGAAGAGAAAGTTGCCTGTGGTAAGTTCAGTTGTTAAAGTAAAAAAATTCAATCATGATGGAGAAGAGGAGGAGGAAGATGATGACTGTGGGTCTCGTACAGGAAGCATCTCCAGCAGTGTGTCAGTGCCAGCAAAGCCTGAAAGGAGGTATCTTGACCATTGTCTGTAAATTAATCTTTAATTGCCTGATGGAATCTTCTGGGTTTCTTGAAGGAGGATATCCTGAAAATAAAATTTTAATAGCATGTAAGACTTTTCTTTTGGTTTTTGAGAAACAGATTAATGAAAGAGAAGTTGTTAAAATTGGAGAAGATTGCAGAGAATACTAAAAACTGGAATATGGTGGGGGGAGGGGGTGATCCAGACTCATTATTTAAAAAGTTAAAAGGTTCCAATCTAGTTGACATTTCCTAAAAACTACAACTAGTCTGTACAAAACCTAAGAGAAGACTGTAGCAAAGGCTTAATGGATAGCTAGCATGTAAAGAACTCAGATCTAAAATTTAATCAAAATACTTTTAACTTTTTTTAGACCTTCACTTCCACCTTCTAAACAAGCTAATAAGAATCTAATTTTGAAGGCTATATCTGAAGCTCAAGAATCTGTAACAAAAACAACTAACTATTCTACAGGTAATTTAAATGTATTATGTGTACATTAAGTGAGTTTTCTTTAACTCTTGAGGAAGCTAGAATTGGTTGCTTCCCAAGTTGTGGTATAGTAAAGACACTTGCCAGATGTCAGGACCAAGAAGAGGTTCAAAGAACGGTTTTAAAAGATCACTTTGAGAAGCTTCCAGCTGTCAGTGTAATTTAGTTCTTTGAGCAACTGTGTAATGCCTTTTATTCCCTCTTTCTAGTGTGTGTGAAATATATATTAAAATTTTAGTAGGGAGTTTTGATAAAGGTGGGACTTTTCATATTCATGGCATTGGAGTCAGCATTTGATAGGACTTTATGATCTGTAAAAGGGAGCAGAGTTGGATATTAAGAGGTCAGAGTTAGAGAAATTTGGCTAGTGCATGAGCAGATTGGCTTCTTTGCTTTCAGTAGAACCCATTAAGGAATATAAGGCAGAGAATTGACTCATTTGTGATGTTCCTTCCCCAGTCCTAGTGGAAGTACTAAATTATTTTATGAGAGAATATAAGGGTATTGCATGTTTTTAAAACAAAACAAATAAGTCACGTATAATCTGACCTTACAAAAAGCTTGTTCTGAAATTAAACTAAATCATGGATGCCATATTGCTATAATTCTGTACTCTGCCCCACGTGCTGAAGCCAGTGTGTAAAACTTTCGGTTAATAAAAACTGATGATTGCCCACTCTAAAAATTTTTATTTTATCCTTGCTATGGATTTGATGACTGTTCTTTTAGCATTTTTCTGCTTTTTCATTCTCTTTTGTATCTCTTTTTGTGACCCCTTCCTAAAGTGGAAGTAAATTATGTTACCAGCTTTTGAACCTCATAGGTATCTGTCCTCTTGCTTCTCCTTTCTAACTTAACCTTGAACATAAACAGGTTTTGGCATATATAAGGATTATCAGGCAAAGGCCAAAACTAGACCTAATCTATTTACATTTCATTTCTTTGCCTTTCCACAATTGAGTAGTTTGTTTGTTTTTTTAAGATATTATTTGAGAGAGAGAGAGCATGAGCAGGGGTGGTGGGGAGAGGGAGAAGCAGGCTCCCCGCTGAGCAAGGAGCCCTATGCGGGGCTCGATCCCAGGACCCTGGGATCATGACCTGAGCCAAAATTGAGTCAGATGCTTAACCAGCTCAGCCACCCAGGTGCCCCTCTTTTTATAATAGTGGGAGATTCCCCAAGTATTTTTGAGAAACTAGCATTGAAGTTCATTCTCGACCTGTATTATGTAAATTATAATTTAAAGTTGTTACATGATCATGAAGCAAAGTTTAAACTACATTTGGTTAGGGTGCCTGGGTGGCTCAGTCGTTAAGCATCTGCCTTCAGCTCAGGTCATGATCCCAGAGTCCTGGGATCGAGGCCCACATCGGGCTCTCTGCTCAGTTGGGGAGCCTGCTTCTCCCTCTCCCTCTGCCTGCCGCTCTGCCTACTTGTGCTCTCTCTCTGTCAAATAAATAAATAAAATCTTAAAAAAAAAACTACATTTGATTAAAAATGAATACTTATATGTGGCAGTGTATTTATGGCATGTGCTTTAAAATGTATAGATGAAGCAGGTATCTAAGAAAAAAGGTGTTACCTGTGAACTGTTTCAAATTTTTCATATGTTCTAAACTCAAGGAGGCATTTATGTTTAAGAGGACATATTCACTGCTCAGTTTTGATGTATTACTGCATCTGCATTTCCCATCTTTTTTCCTTTTAAAAAGTCTCACAGAAACAGACACTTCCAGTTGCTCCCAGAACTCGAACTTCTCAAGAAGAATTGCTGGCAGAAATGGTCCAGGGGCAAAGCAGGACCCCCAGAATAAGTACCCCCATTAAAGAAGAGGAAACAAAGGGAGATAATATAGAAAAAAGCCAAGGTAATAATTTAAATAATACGTCATTCTCTACTCTTACACTTTTTCATGAGGCTTTAAACATTTCCCAGTGGGTATTTATGAAATGTTAGTTCTGTGAGAAAACTGGTCATTAGGCCCAAAAATAGGATGAGAAGGCACCATGAGGAAAGTCTAAGCCTACACATTTCAGAATCCTGAAAAGTCTTTTTATTATAGAATTTTTTAATGTTCTTACAAGTGGGAAGAATAGTGCAATGAATTCCCATGAACCCAGTTACCTGGCCTTAATAATTACCAGTATTTTGCTGGTCCTAAGAAAGTTTCTACTTAGAGATACATAGATACTTGCATTTTTTCTTCTTTTTGTTAATCCTACTCCTGTTCTCTTGAACTGGGAATTGCATCTTTAAATCTCCCTTCTTAGCATCCTTTCTTTGACCTGGCCAGTTGTCCCAGTGGCCCTACTTTATTCTTTTGTTGCTGGCAAACTGCAGTTAGCCTCGAGCTGATCTTTCTGCTTCCTTTCTCTCAACCCCCACTAACTCCATCTCCAGTACACTTTGCCTGTCTAAAGTTTGCTCTGATCATGTGACTTCTTCTTGAGAGCGTTATAATGTTTCCATCTCATGCATTGTCTGGGATTGATGCCATCAGCTTGGCCTTTAGGCAGTTTGGCTGTCTGGTCTCTGGGCCTGCCCAGTCATTTTCCACTGCTCTCCGACCTCTTCCTATCAAGAAAGGTCCTAGTTTCCATCTTTTTCTTTTCTATTGAGAGCTAAATTAGAAAACCCCACCAAAACTGAATGCTCGTCATGTTATTTCTGACTTATACTTTTCTAATGCTAGCATGCATTTTTTCATTCCTCCTGAACTGTTCTTGAAACTGTTTCAGGTTCATTTCAAATTTATTTGTTTCATGAGGCCTTAATGATTCCATTCTGTATTTGTCTCTTCATTCTCTCCTTAAAAAAAAAAATCCTTGTATTGTGCATTTTGCCATGTCAGCATTATGTGCAAATCCAATAAATGATGGACCTGAGAACAGGAAAATTCTGAAACAGCCAGTAGGTACTAACTAGAAAGCATAAGTGGGCCAGTTTGTAAAGAGCAACTGGAGAGCATTTGAGCTTCAGTGAGGGTGAGAATTGCAGTGTATTGAAGCCCAACAAACAGGTTTAAATCCAAGATTTCATATATTTTTTTAAAGATTTTATTTATTAGAGCATGAGCAGCAGGGAGGGGTAGAGGGAGAAGCAGACTCCCGCTGAGCAGGGAGTCCGATGTGGGACTCGATCCCAGGACCTGGGATCATGACTTGAGCCGAAGGCACATGCTTAACCGACTGAGCCACCCAGGCACCCCCATGATTTCGTATTTTTTAAAAGTGAATCTTTAATTGGTCACCTTCTAGAGGTATAATAGATACTAATTCATTGTCTTGAAAACTGGATAAATAAAATTATTGAGCATTTATGCTGTCTTTCCGTTAAAGAATGGTATCCCTGTGTAACCAAATAGTATAGGAGTTAACATCTGCTTTTGTAAATGTAGTTTTATTGTACTCATTCATGTATATATTGTTTCTTGCTGTTTTTGTACTATATCCAGAGTTGAATATAGCTGATGAGGAAAGCGCTTTTTTTTTTTTTTAAGATTTTATTTATTTATTTGACAAGGAGACACAGCGAGAGAAGGAACACAAGCAGAGGGGTGGGAGAGGGAGAAGCAGGCTCCGGGGCTCAATCCCAGGACCCTGGGATCATGATCTGAGCCAAAGGCAGACACTTAACGACTGAGCCACCCAGGCGCCCCCCCCCCCTTTTTTTAAGTAAACTCTATGCCCAATGTGGAGCTTGAACTCATGACCCTGAGATCAAGAGTTGCATTCTTCAGACTGAGCCAGCCAGGCACCCCTAGAAAAAGCATTTTTAAAAATTCTTCCAGCTCATAAGTAAAAACAGAATGATAGGATTATAGCTTGTTGGGTTCCCCCCCCCTCAACTCAGTGAATTAATCTAGGCACTGATGATTAATGGCTACTAAAAAAAGCGAAACAGTCATTTCATGCCTCCAGATGAAAGAATAAAACTACCTTAGTCTTGGCAGCAGCTCTTTCTGCCCATAGGTCCTGTCCCCATGGTTTAATAAAGTCACCATTTTTGCACCAAAAAAACAAAACTACCTTAGTCTTGCCAGAGGATTTGAACCTGGGTTATCAGGGCTCTGATCCAGCCGTCAACTTGCAGGAAGTACAGAGGCCCGAGGAATATGTTGGTTGTCACATCATGAATGTGCAACAGGCAAAGAACAGTCTCTGGGACTCCATATAGGTCAAACAGCCTGAGAATTCTAGATTAAAAGACAAAATAACAAGGTGCAAGGTTAAACTGTAGTGTCTAGAGATACACACTTGTGTGCCACAAAGAAATTTTAGGTTACTATAAGGCATAAATGGTTACTTTAGGAGAGGACTGATTGAGATGGAGCAAATACGGAAAGGTTTCTGGGGTGGTTGGCACAGTTTTATTTTTTGGACCTGAATGTTGACTGTAAGGATGTTTTGCCTCATAAAATTCATTAAGCTACTGTTTGTTTTGTGTGGTTCTCTCTGTGTTTTGTTTTAAAGTAAGAGGTCAAAAATTTGAAATGGAATCAAGTACATCTGATGAGGACTTACTACTCTTTCTGAATTGGTTTATTCGCAAGTGCAAAGTGACATTCTGCAAACGGCGATTAATTACTGTGCCTACTCACTGTTTTACAGCTTTGTGACTAAAATCTAAATATGCATACATATATTGGCATGAGTTAGTGTTTTTTCATCTCTCTGGTCTCTGTATTTTTACTAGCCTAACCACCTCACAGTATTCATGTTATTTCTCTTTTTGTCTTGGATTAGTCTGTCACCAGAAGTTTATTGTGTTAATGTGTTCAAAGACTTAACAACAGTAATTCTGGCTTTATCGATTCTCCTTTGATGTCTTGGTTTTCTATTTCTTTGGTTTCTGCTCTTATTTTTAATATATCCACCTATATTTTTAATTATTAATTTTTCTCCGCTTGTCTTTTCCAATGTAAACATTTAAGCTGTAAATTTCTCTTGAGGTGCCATTTCTGTTGTGTATCACAAATTTTGATATATAATGTTTTCATTATCAATCTGAGTTTCTTTAATCCCTATTACGATCTTCATCTTTGACCCATGAGTTATTTGAAAATGTTTGTAATTTATAGTATACAGAGGATTTGTCTTTTAGTCTTTTATTATGTACTCTTGACTTGATTGCATTGTGTCAGTGTGATTTGTGTAATACATATTTTTTGAAAATTGTTAAGACTTAAGACATTAATTTTGCACATCTTCCATGTGCATTTTGAAAGGAAATTGTTGGATTGAGAATTTTGCATTGAGTAGATAAAGCTCTGTGGTTACGTTGTTCAAATCTTCACCTTACTGAGTGTTTGGTTTGCTTGACTTAATGAGAGAAGGTCTTGAGATTGTCCATTATGATGACAAATTTATCTTAATTTCTCTATACTTCTATCATATTTGTTTTCCATGCCTTTGTTGTCAGTCTTCTCTGACCTTCTCTTTAATGCTTTAGGCAAATATATCTCTTAAATATTATAAAGCTAGATTGTTGTTTTGTTTGTTTTGTAAAGATTTTATTCCAGAGAGAGAGAGTGGGAGTAGCAGAGGGAGAGGGACAAGCAGACTTTGTGCTGAGTGTGAAACCCGATGTGGGGCTCGATCCCAGGACCCTGGGATCATGACCTGAGCCAAAGGCAGATGCCTAACTGACTGAGCCACCCAGGCACCCTTCTTTTTTGATTCGTATTGGCCTTTCATTTTTTTTCCTCCCTGTTTGCCTTTAAGATTCATTAGTTACTATTGTTGATTGCCCCAGCTCTGCATTTTTTTTTTTTTTTTTACTAGTTTAAACACTCCATTTCTGTTCATTCAGTGACTAGCACTGAAATTTTACCATGCAAATTTAATTGCATATTCCATAAGTTAATGTTCTGATCCCATTTCCAAAGTAAATGAACTGTAGTTCTAGTCTTTACCCTTCTGGCTTATGTTTCCAGTGTTTCATTTTAGTCATTTTTTAAATGCGTAAGTTGGGCACCATTATTATTTTACCCAGGCAATGTTTACCTACGTGTTTATCAGTTTTTGTTCTCAAATCTTGAATGTTATTAGGGGATATCATCTTCCAATGTTTTGAATTATTTTTGAAGTGTATTCTTTGGCAGTTTCTTTAAGAATGGGTCTATTGCTCTAAATTTGCCAAGAGTCTGTTTATCTTTGTGATTTTTCTTTCCTTGTTCTTGTGCAGTAATTTTGCTGGATAACAACAGTTATTCTCAACACCTTGTATGTATTATTCCGTTGTCTTCTGGCTTCCATTATTGTTGAGTGGACTTCTGTCATTCTAATTGTCTGTCGTTCCTTTGTAGGTGATCTGTCCTTTCTCTGGCTGCTTTCAAGATCTTCTCTTTGTCTTTGATGTTCTGCAGTTTCACTACGATGTGTCTAGGTGTGGATTTCCTTTGGTTTTCCTATTTTGTATATGTTGTATAAAAAACATCTAAATAAAATATTTTACATATGAAATAATGTTTCCCATAGAAAAATTGGAAAAGCAAATCTTTGTAATGTTTGTTGATAGATTAGAAACTAATCAAATAGCGTAGAAAATTTAAAAATAAAAAGCAGTGTTCTTTGCTTCATTCTTCTCCACATAGGTTCTTCCCAGACAGCTACCACTTTTAAATGCTTGTGTTTATGTCTTTAATTTTCTCCATGTCAATAATGTGCTTTACATTCACTAACTATAGGTGGTATCTTTTGTTTTTTTGCCACAATATATCAGGATCTAACTCAAAACTTTTCCCTGCCTTTCAAGCCCATATAGTAAAATCACTGTTTTTGGTTCATTTATTGCTTACTTTTGTCATTTTAAGTAATACATCTAAATATTTTTTGTGTGATTACTATAATTCAGTATGCTTTGTTC